ATCACTGTCAAGGATCTTCTCGTTGGACAGACTATACCAAGGAATTTCCCAAGTGGAAACCAACTTAAAGCGGAACTCAAGAACCTGAAAGAACCTAGAAATCTTAAAACGGTCTAAGACGTTCGAAGAAACTTCTCAGAACCTACGACCGAGAAAAATCAAAGATTATTTTTGATTTAAGTAAGAATCTTCGGATTGTCACTGGATTTTTAACAGGACACTGTCTCTGTTTTCTTCTCTCTTCTCGATCCTTTTGCGACTCGTTGTGGGTGCTGCACTCTGCTGCCGTCGAAGTTCTTCTTCGATACGTGCTTAGGGGTTGAAACCACGAAACGACACAACTGGCCCGAGAAGATGCTCGAAAGATACAGAAATGCCGTCGCACGTATCCTACCGACTGCGCCAATTATGTTGTTCGGCAGTTTTTTGTTTTTACCATATTAAGTCTTAATTGCTATTAGGTAGTAATTGTTAATTTTAAAGTTTAACTTGATATAATGTCATTTTAACAAAACGTCAACGGTTTTTGTAGACGTATCTGTTTTATAATAAAACTAAATTGTTCTCGAATAGTTGCATCTAAATATTTTAAATGTTTTTTGCTTCCGACGACGGAAAGAGATAAACTTTCCGAAACGTTAAGCATTTTTTTGTTCTTTAGGCAATTTTTTTAGAATTTTTCAAGTCCTTGGTGATCGCGTGGTTAAAGCGTTAGGGCTTTATGCTGCTATGACGTTGGAGTCGTAGTAAGGCAGGTTCGAATCCTATAGTCAAGGCGACTTTTTTTAATCGTTTATTTTTTAATTTTTACATATTTTTACATATTTATTTTTACTTTTTACATATTTATTATTGATTAATACAATTTTTAGTAATGTGTTTCTTAATTTTTTTTTAAATTACTTATACGCGCATTCAAAATTTCAGCTAAATCGGAAAAAAAGTTTATAATAATATAGTGTCTAATGTCGTATAGATCCAATCATCCAATGATCATCCAATGAATGGAGTCCGGCTCGCACTTGACCACTTCTTTATTTATCAGTAAACTTAACTGCTGACAAGTAGTCTCCGTTGGATTAACGCAGCAGTGTTTACAAAAAATAACTATTTTATTTTGTAGATTTTCTTGGTGGCGAAATACCCATGGAGAAATATTTTCTAACGCGAGTAGCTTTACTCTAAAATAAAATAACAGAATTTACTACAGTAAAACTCCAACCAGAAAGGTAAAATGGCCACCGTTCTTGCTAGGATTATTAAACGTCAAGACATGTTTTCGCTTTTACACCTCACGTAATTCCGTCAAGCACTCCATAGCCTCTAAAATTTTATTTCGGAAATTTCTCGCCCCAGAAAAAGCTCCTCACAAATCCCCCCAGGTTCCGCCTGATTCAATTATGCTTTAAAACAAGGAAATTTTATTTATTTTTGAACATATTAAACACGTACCTACTCGTAGTTGGCTCTTGTGTAATCTTCTTATCTTCTGACGGAGGAAGAAGACTTACGACGTCGTTCAAAGAACGTAACTTTATAATTATAACGTGGGAGAAAGACGGTTAATGTTTTCCAGGTTTAAAAATACCGACCGATCAAAAAAAAATTAAGATATACTACAAGGATATAATATAAGAGTATAAATCTTAAATGTACAGGGTGTTACCACCTAAGTAGTCCCTAAAGGGAAGGCCATCACGGTCTTTCTGCCGAGGAGCAAGGGAAAAGACACCACCTACCTGCTGAGCCTTATCCAGAGTCAGAACTTCAATGTAAGGACATCGAGTTGGCGAGTCATCAACTCGAGGAAGGAGTGTCATGGTCAGGTCCTCACAATAGGAATTGACCTCAAATCCAAGGAGGCAATAGAAAATATCCTCTATTATTATAGATACAGGATAACACCGGTATCAGGTCTAAGGAGAGACCAAGTTAAAAAGGTGGAGAAAATGGAGACAGATTCTCAAGCCTCCACCTCACGGTTTCCTCAGCCGGAGGCAAGCTCCTCGACTGTGAAGGGCAGCACGAAGGGCCAAACTCGAACCGTAGAAGGGTGTGTACCCTCAGAGGAAGAACTGTTGTCAGAGGAGGATGGGAAATACCCTGTCCCCTCTACAACAGAGGTATGATGGGTTATAGACTGTGTGATAACTCAAGGAAGGGGGGCACAATAGATCCTTAAGGTCGCAGTGTCTAACCCACCCCCCTTACTCATTCTGCATTCTACATTCTACCTAAGTAGTCTAAAACATTTAGGGTGTATTAAGAAAAAAAAGGCAAGCATGGGGTCTAATGTGCTTCCATTCTGATTTACGGGGTGATTACGGGTGATTATCGATTTTTTTGCTATATTTCGGGAACTAGATATGTTCCTCAATTTTTGTATGTGGTGTCCAGGTATAAAATCATTTTTTTTTCTATTAACTGCCACTTATCACTTATTTTGATGTTCTGAATCTCGCAATTAGTGGAGTAAATTAGTGGTTTCAATTATACTTTTTCTAACCACAATTTTCCTTGCCGGAACAGAATCAAAGGCCAAAATGACAGTTCTCGAAAATTTTGAAGTATAATTAGTGGAAAAGTTAACAGTTTGATAACTTTTTCTACTAATTGTAAATGTCTGCCTCTAATTTTGACGTTCTGAATGCTTGAACTGAAATTAAAGGAACAAACTTCTACGCTAATTGAAACCACTAATTGCGAGGTTCTGAATGAAGCTTAAATTAACTTTTTCTACTAATTGAAAATTACTGCAACTAATTCTGACGTTCTCAATTCTTACATTGAAATTAGAGGAACAAACTTCTACGCTAATTGAAACCACTAATTTCGAGGTTCCGCATGAAGATTTACGCTAGTAAACTATATAAATCCATGTTTATATTACAAAACAATCAATTTAATCAGAAATCGCAATCAAAATTTATTAATACCATACCAAATATCAAAATATATATTTAATTTATTATTATTTATATATTTCTACTAAATAAAAGCTACTTATATATTATATATATATATTAAATACCCAATATCAATCATAAAACAGTTAGGTACAAATTTTAAACATTATTTGTATTCCATAGGTATTATACCTAAAAAAATAATAATATGCAAAGTTTAATAATGCACAGAATATTTGCCTTTTATAATGAATATTATTGTTGAATTATGCTTTGTTTATATAATTAAAAACCACCTAATTGAGTATGCATTGTTTGCATAAATTTTCAACTTTACCGTTTCATTTTAAAAGCGAAAAATGTGCAAACATGTTTTTCCTTTGTGTATAATTCAAGCTTCAGTCATCAGATTTTGAGACAAACTCGATAAACTAGGTGAAGTAGGTACCTATACTTTGTCAAAGACATCTCATATACTGTATGTTTTATTCTCTTTGTCACATTGATTTTTATTTTACAGGAAGTTTTTTTTATAGATTTCAAATTCATTTTCATTTGTATAGGTACCATAAATTAGTTTTATTCCAAAAAAATGTTTGTTAGAAGATATCCTATATACAGGGTGGTCCGAACTATATTCCAGAAACTTCGGCAGCATATTCTGCAGATAAGAATAAGTAAAAAAGTTTGCATAAACGTATGTCCTAAAATGCCTAAGTTTTGGAGACACAGGGTGTTGAAGTTTCATTTTTATTTCGATTATTTTCAAATAATTTCTAAAGTAACGTAAATATTTGGATGAAAATTGGTATCTGGAAGTTTTTTGACACGAAAAATTTGATTTTGATGTCAACATTGCTCCTGCTTGAAGAGGGCGATATATACATATTTTTTAACTAGTTTGAAGACTAATAACTTCTCGTTCGTACCTGTATAAAACTTCTGAGTGAAAAAGTATACATTTACGACGTTTTTTATGTAAAAAAGGTCTCTTGGTAAAAATCGCTACGAGTAATGGTTCTCGAGATATTTGGAATCTAAATTATCAATACCTGTCATCATTGATAAATTAAACATATTGACTAAATAGTAAAAATAATTGTTAGACTAAAATCATAAATTTGAAATGTTTTTGTGCCAAAAATTCAACAGACACTGTTTTATCATAATTTTTTGGAAGAAAAATTTATGAATAATTTAAAAAAAAGTTCCCAAATTTATCATTTCAGTCACATAACTCTCTACCCAACATATTTATTTTTTATCAATACTGGTATGTATTGACTATTTCCATTCTAAATATCTTGAGAATGGTTGCTCGTAGCGATTTTTCCCAAGAGACCTTTTTTACGTAAAAAACGACGAAAATTTATAATTTTTACTGAGTAGTTTTATACAGGTACGAACGAAAAGTTATTACTCTTCAAACCAGTTAAAACATATATAGGCAGCGCCCTCAACAAGTAGGAGTCATGTTGACATCAAAATCGAATTTTTCATGTCAAAAAACTCCCAGACACCAATTTTCATCCAAATATCGATATTAGTTCAGAAATTATTTGGAAAGAATAATGGAAATAAAAATTAAACTTCTACACACTGTATCTCAAAAACTAATCATTTTAGGGCATACATTTATACGAACTTTTTTACTTATTTTTATCGACAGAATATGCTGCCGAAGTTTCCGGAATACAGTTCGAACCACCCTGTATAATAAAATAGTAGTAAGAAGTTTAAAAGGCAAAATATACAGGTTGTTAATTTGTTTATTACTCGCGGCAAGAGCTTTATGGTTGAAATGTGGCAACCTCGGCCCGCTCGTCAATAGACGACGCGACGGGACGAGTCGGCAGAAAACCCTATATGCATGCGTTCTCAATAGGCAGTGTTGCCATTCTCTTCAACTATAAGTAACTGCAGAGTTAACAACCTGTATATAACTTTATTTATGTGCTTATCATTTTGCTGCATCTTCGTTTGTTACTTCCTCGTTAACAGTATTTTAAAATAATCTCCGATAATATTTCAAGTTAAAGTTTCAGATCTTATGTTTGGTTTGTCTTACAAATTAACAAAAAAAAATATACTTACATGTATTTAGAATGTAGATACAGCCACAACTTGATTTACATTACACCACCCACAGTTCCAAATTATATTTTATATCTTGATTTTATCCTAAATTGTCTGGTAGCGGGACAAAGCTTCTTGTTTTATGTCGTTCTGGACACAATACCGTCATAAAACTCAGTTCCACGCGATGACATAAAACGAAGGTCTTGGCTAGAATAACGTGGAACGGTCCAGAAGTGCCCCGAAATAAAAATCAAATAAAATATATCAATTTTCCCTCATTTTCTCGCATTGACGGTGCTTCCTCCGTGCCGAAAGTAATATAAACTATCCCTATAGGCCTGTTTCTTTTTATTTCGTATTGAAGTTTCGACATGAATTGTATTTTTCGATATTTATACGACAAAAATTCAGAACCTTAATTCTAGATATTCTCTACAGTTAAAATTATTGATTAGAGGTGTCAACGCAATCAATTCAAAAATTTCGACCAACTTTGAGTATAGTGGGTGCTACAACTTCGAGGCACAAGCATAGGTATCTCGGTAACCGTAATAGATACGAACATAGTTAAATTGAGGCAATGTTGCGATTTGGGATATTCACCAAGATGCCATCAAAAAAGTTCAATTTTATTTTTTCCTGTCGTTACTTTTTAGAAAATCAAAAAACTAATTGCACATTCTCATAGCCACTCTATTAGTGCTATCTGGTAGTATTTTTAGATTTTCAAATTAGCTGATAATTTATGAGATACAGAGGCCAACTTATTTTTTTTAAATACGGACCTGCATTTTTTATTTCACGTTTTGAAAGAACTCGGGAAGGTATTACTTGACGTCATTTTTAAAAGTGAAATCAATACATCTCAGCAATAAAAAGTACAAAATGCATTCGGAAGCATAAGAAGGACATCTGTTCAAAGAGCTATAAATAAAATTGAACGAAAAATAAATTTGTGCAATAAGGAGGGTGGTAACCCTTTCAAACATGTAGGGCATTATAAACTAGTTTGTAGAAGTTAATTTACTTATAATAACTACGATTAATATTATGCAAATTATTAGATCGGTCAATGAGATTTCAAATTCTCAATAAAAAAAAGTTAAAAATAATATCTTTAAATTGCTGACCTGGATATTATTTAGTTGAATCTTTCAATTGGCTCGATTTTCCTTAATCATTGTTAATTAGCGCTGATCAATATTGTTGCGATGAATATAATCAGATTAAATAATTTAAAATAACCAGAGTCGGACTTGAAATTATTTTAAATAATAATTAAATAGTTTTATTGTTGTTAAGGTACCCAAAACAAAAAAAATGTTAAAGTGTGTCATATCATTGTACTTAGGCGACCGAGTTCTTTCAAAACCTGATATAAAAAATGCAAGTCAGTATTTAAAAAAATAAGTTGTCCTCTGTATCTCACAAATTATCAGCTAATTTGAAAATCTAAAAATACTATTAGATAGCTCTAATAAAGCGGCTATGACAAGCAATGTGCAATTAGTTTTTTGATTTTCTAAAAAGTAACGACAGGAAGAAATAAAACTGATTTTCAAAAAAAAACAGCAATCCTTGAAATTTTGAAAACTTTTTTGATGGCATCTTGGTGAACATCCCAAGGCGCAACTTTGCCCCAATTTAACCATCTTTGTATCATCACGGTTTCCGAAATACTAAGGGAATCAAAATTTATAGGGTATTTTGCGTTGACCTAGAACTATGAAATTTGGCAGGTAATACCTCCTTATACTACAAGTATAGAGAAAAGTATACATTTATAATTAAACTATAAAAAAATATAGCCTTTAATTAAAGTACGTAATCAATCATCGAGGTTAAGCGTTTAATAGTTTGAGTTATCAAATTTTCTCGTAGATTTTTTAAATTTTTACTAATTTCATCAGAAGAGAAAAATCTGAAAGCGGTATATTTTTAATTAAATCACAAAAAAATCAGGGTCTTTATGCGAGGAACACTATAATACAAAACAAAAAGTTTCTATAAGCATAAGCCCTAAGATGCTTCACGAAGAAGTTACTGCCCTGAAAAAGGTATAATTAAATAATAATTTAGTTTTTATTATTTAATAAAAACCAAGAGATTTCATTTGTGGCTCTGTAGAAAAAAGTAAAACAGTTTCACAATAGCTATTTCGTTTTTATTTTTTTGTTTAGGAAAAAACATAGACCATAAAAAGCAGAGAGAAACAGCAAAACAATAGCATTAGTCTCCGCTGCGACACGTCTGTGTTCGAGCCCTTAAATCAAAAAGCCCTTTACGAAAGAAAGAATAAAAAAAAGAAGAATAGAGTAAAAGAAAAGCAACAGAAAGGGAACCGATGTCGGTGCTTTTAAATTTATTTTTTGGATAGGCCCAGGTGACAAATGCCGCTACACAGCTTAAAATTTATTACAATCAAAGATAAATAGTTTGGGCAGTAAATTCCGGTTTTATTTTCTTCTTTAGAGGTCCAGACGTGGGATTCTGTAAGGTCTCGTAATATGAAATTTCTTGACTTTTGTGACTCATTATTCTTATGATATTTTTGGGATGCATAATACAATTTTCCTTGATTTAACGAAATTGACGGACTAATATTTTCATCCCAATCAATCAAAAAATTTCTCGAAATTTATTGATTAGTTATTCGGAAACTATCATGACCGAACGCGGTGTTCGGCTATACTCGGCAAGACAGATGTTAAAAGGTCTTACAGAGACAACGGTCCAATTCCTTCAAGTTCATTGTTCCTACTAGTGTTGGGAAAATTCGAATTAAATAATACGACTAATTCGATTGTAAATTAAAACTAACTAATTCGAATTATTTTTTTCGATATAATCGAGATAAAAATTAGTAGTATTTTATATTATATCTGTGGTAACCGAATTACAAATGAACATAAAACATAACCTCTTATATGGACGAATACAAATATTAGTAATTAGTATAGTACTATTAGTAGTATTCTTTAGTAACTAGTTAGTAGTAATTCGGAACGAACTGAAAATTTTCACTTAAACTGATTTATAAAGAGAATCGACAAAGAAAGGAACGATCCGATATAGAAAAATCCAGAAATCATTGTTATTTCCTATACCACGTAGGCATAAATCAGTCTAAGTGAAAATTTCCATTTCGTTCAGAACGAAAGAATACTACTATTATTTGCACAAATTATTTGGTTCATTTCCATCTCACCCAAATTTCACCGAACACCTGCCGAACACTAAAATTAATTTTCTTCTTTTATCTAAATAATTATTGATTGCAACTGATAAAATAAAAAGAAATACGAACCGCACGTAAACATGGACATACTTATATCGTTTTAGAAGAAGCTTTTATTTTAGATATGAGCTTTTCAATAGGAATTGAAACAATCATAAACTCGGCACTTTTAAATTTAAAACTTTAAATTATGGTTTAATTTATTAAACGGCTTCGGCACAGTTAATACATTGAATAAAGATTTTTTTTTTTATTTTTTATTCAGTGATAGAATATAGGTATGGCAATGGTTCAGAATTTGTTTAAAATAGCCCCTAGACGAGCACTAGCTGGGACGAATTTATTTTTAGGTTAAATTTATAATACTACTAAATAATTCGAATTATTAATTCGATTGTGAAATATGAATTATTACTAATTATTCGATGGTGAAAATAATTCGATTATTCCCATCACTAGTTCCTAAGTAGGAACTTCCTACTACTCTAGTGGCGGAAATCTAACTGTTACGCTCAGTGGGCTCTGACTCGGTTGGCTAGATTTTGCCACGCCCACTCGGTGCCCACTGAGCGAGTATATAAACGCTTAACTTGTAGATTGTACTTTAGTTTATAATCATCTGCTGATGATGCTAACATGGTTAGCGAAACGCGCGTCCAGTGTAAAAGTAAAAGTGTTTTGGTGTATTGTGGTGAAAAGGTCTTGCTATAGTGATGGTAAAATTTAAAAATATATCGGTATATTTATATATCATTTTTGAAGAGTGTTCCATATACCGGGTGCGTCTCTAAAGTAGGCTCACCCCTATAACTTTTTTATCTTTTCAGATAAAATAAGCGAATTTGGTATGTTAGTATATGACATAAATTAGGATTGGTTGACGTATTCAATTTTTTTTTGGTCACTTCCTGTTTCACCGGAAATGACTACAACTTTTGATTTTTAAATAGCACCCTCGGTATTTTTTTACTTTATTTTATAGAAAATGACATTCTGACTAGAATGACTGATGATACTTTTGACATTCTCGCTTAAAAAAAGATCGTATTTTAAATATCAATCTAGAGAGTTAAAAACACTAATTTTTAATCAAGGAGTCTTGGAAAAATAGATTTGATCGTCTAATGTTTTAGTGTCTTGTCCTGGACGGTTAAAAAATGACCAAATCGTATTATCTCATTTTTTTTTAAATGGAACGAGGGTGGCTCATTAGCATATTTAGAAAAAGCATTTTTTACAAATAATTTGATACCACACACTTTATTTTATTTATGGTATTTCGAGTCAAATTTTCGTTACGAACCGCATGTTATAATTTCAAACTAGCCAATGCGTAAATGTCAATGGCAAAAAGTTGACATATGATATGTCATTCTATTCAGAGTGTCATTTTCAATCGCATAAAGAAAAAGTATACCGAGAGTGCCATTTAAAACTCAAAAGTTGTAGTCATCTACTACTAGGAAGACACAGAATACATCAATCAATCCTAATTTATGTCATATACTAATATACCAAATCGCGTTTTTTTAACTCAAAAAATATAAAAGTTACAGGGGTGAGCCACTTTTGAGACACACCCGGTATAGTCAATTTCTTTCATATATTCATTGATATTCCTTGAATATATGCAATCGATATAAAAAGAGGGGCGCAAATTACCTTGGGAATGGTCGATAACATTCACAATATAATTTTACGTATAAAATATCATTCAACAATAATTTTGAGGTAACATGACACTGTCGTTTCCCGGTATTTATTTATCAACAAGCATATACAATATGATAAAAAAAACGGCGGCAGCGAGAGCTTTGAAATGAAGATCGCTCTGTCATTTTATAATGTAAGATTATACCGTGCTGGCAACTGTTACTTTTGGGTCGGCATTTACATGTGTGGAAGTAAATCGCATAGGGATCTTATTAAGTCGGAGTGAGGGAAATGCGACCGACCGACGCG